TGGAGAAGTTGCCAGCTGCATCGATGGCGTGACACCAGAGATCGATGAAACAACAGCTGTTCAAGGCATTCAAGGTATAGTTTTTAGTTGTAATTGTAATTACCGTTGTACTGTCTATTGTCATTATTGGTATTATTGTTGCCATTATTATTATAATGACCAATATCATTATCAGAACTACTATTATTGTTATTACTACTATTATTATTGCTATTATTACTTTCGTTACCATCGCCACTCGTTAAATACTACAAAACTGTGAGGATAATAACTTTTTTATTTGCGTAAGTACACTGTAACGGTCAGGCATGACCACTGTGCTTTGTTATAAGTCAAACATACGTGTCGATGTTTGTTTTGGACTGTAATATCGTTTCTTTATCACTATCGGATACCGTGAAATGTACAGGCGTTGTTGGCTCCACGCTGCCCGTCGCATCTTCGTTATCGAAATTGCCGCTTTTACTGCAACAGTTGCAATATGCTTAGAGAGTTGCATAGACAAAGGGGCCGATTATAGGACTACTTTAAGTGCAGTGCGAAGCACGGCGGATGCGATCAAATTGGTGACAAAACGATCAAATTTTTTTTACAGAGAGACCTCTCAGAGTGAAAATGTGCACCTGGATTAAACTCGCAGTGCGACTTACATAATGAAACTTACAAATTATTGTAGAGATCCTGTTACTGCATTTGGCATGAATCAAGGAACGGTAATTTTGGGAAAAAAGGAGCTAGCTGTAGCCGGACAGCGTTCACCAAAATTAGCCAGAGAGCTGGCCAGCTAAATTAGCTAAAAACTTGTCCGCTAAGATTAAGCCTGGACAGTAAATTAACTGGAAATCTCATGCCGTAATAAAGGGAAGACCTTCGCGAAAGTCAATACCATTTTGGTTCAAGAATGCTAAAAATTGTCTGTTTTTCTCTACCTCCAAACATTGGGTTCAGGTCTCTGGGCTGCAGTGGGGTGTTCTTGTTGCGGCACTAATGGGGTATGAAAAGCTCGACCAGCTCGATGAAACTACGGCACAGTTTCTCTATTCACCAAAAGGCTGGGAAATAAAGTGATTGTCGAAGGTGCCCTTTTTTTAATGAGCGCAAAAGAAGTTACAATTCGTTGCAGACGAAATCCATGAGGTTTGCGATCGGTGGACCCTCGGTCGGTGTATGCTCGTACGTCATCCCACAATATCCATCTGTTCCGATAATATACTGAAAAAAAAATCACTTTGTGGAATCTTACCGTTTGTTCTTTGATCCCTGGAGGTTCTCCAGTCTCACTGCCAATCTGGTACGGTTGCTTACCGGGCACACAGCTTCTTTACATCATTTTGTCTCAAGCACGCAAACAAAAGTTTTTCGTATGGGTCTTGCTTAGCAAAAAGCCGATGGTATTTATATTAAAAAATATGGAACAGAATTATAGACTTTTGAAAAGTATCGGAATTCAACGAGTATTTTTGTTTGTACTGTTCTT